CAAATTCACCATAACAAATTACTGAACGTTGGATTGTTTAAATAAAGACGTTTATTTTCACATAGTTCTGTAAGTTGGAAGTCCAAGATCAAAGTGTCAGTAGGTTTGCTTTCACCTGACAACTCCCTGGCTTCCAGTCAGATATCATCTTGCTGTGTCATCTCATATTTCCTTTTTTCATGTCCATTTCTTGTTTCTCTTATAAGGTCATCAGTCTGGGTTAAAGTCTCACACATTTGATTTTTTACTTTAATTGTGCCATTAAAGGCACCATCTCCAGATAGAGTCACACTGCAGGTTAAAGCTTGAAGACAGAAACTTTGGAGAGACACAGTTCAGTGCATCACGACGGAAAGCACCCAGATGTCTGCCTAATGGGCAGCCAACTCTAAGTAGGACTTCCTGTGTAGAGTGAGTCTTAGGATTCCTTTTGTTATTATTTTAATACTTTCTTACCAACCTGGGTGCATGCATGTACCCAACAAATTATCTGTCTACACCTACACAAACTAGAATATAGATTACTAATAGTAGTGTACATGTAAAATCAATATGGTAGTCCATTAGATAGAATATTTTGAAACTAAAACTGATGAGTAGAAAAATAACAAAGTCTGGCCAGCACCATGGCTCACTAGGCTAATCCTCCACCTAGTAGCACCAGCACACCAGGTTCTAGTCCTGGTCAGGGCACCAGATTCTGTCCCGGTTGCCCCTCTTCCAGGCCAGCTCTCTGCTGTGGCCAGGGAGTGCAGTGGAAGATGGCCCAAGTGCTTGGGCCCTGCACCTGCATGGGAGACCAGGATAAGTACCTGGCTCCTGGCTTTGGATCAGCACGATGCACCAGCCACAGCGTGCCGGCTGCAGCGGCCGTTGGAGGGTGAACCAACGGCAAAAGGAGGACCTTTCTCTCTCTCTCACTATCCACTCTGCCTGTAAAAAAAAAAAAAAGAAAGAAAAAAAGAAAAATAACAAAGTCTGAGCTCCATTATGGTATATATGATATCTACTATTCATATTTTAAATAAATCACTATGAGAAATATAACAAAAATATTCACACCTTACAGATCCATTTACATGCAGGTTAATCAGGTAGTATTGAAATTATAACAAAAGGAATTTTTTTTTGACAGAATCCTGCACCCCAACCAGGACTAGAACCTGGTGTGCCGGCGCCGCTAGGTGGAGGATTAGCCTATTGAGCCTCAGCGGCAGCCAACAAAAGGAATCTTAAGACTCTATACAGTTAAGTGTAATATTCCATATTAATTTCCTCATACAATGTGACTTCTTTTCTGCACGATACATTCTATACTTATTTGTGAATATGGCTATTAATTCATAAGGAAATGTGTGAGTGTGTCTACTGACCTAATATGCTTAATTCAGGAAACAGACCTTTTGTGCATGTGGGAAAGGTGCCATTCAATGTTATCCTCTGTTTTACAAAATATGTTAATGAATCAAATAATTAGAAAATAAAACATGATGAGACAATGCTGGTTGGTACATTACGACCTCAACTTTTAGTCCTTAAGGGATCCTGAATTAGTTTCTCTGTGGTCATCACTCTCTTTATATCACAGGGGCTATATATTTCATTCTTCAATACGTACTAATAAGGTATTAGAGCTCTTCTCTCTGACTCAGTGCTTGAAATTATAAATGCCAGCCATTACTCAGAAGGTATAACTAAGATGACCCAGGGAGAGAAAGTGAGTTGTAAAAGGCCAATCAACAACAACTTAGAGTAGCCTTCCTACTTTCTTCTCAGGAATCCCCACAGAATCTTCATCTCCAATTCCAAAATGAGCAATTTTTGCTGGTAGAGGTATGTGGCTACCCCTATAGAGAGCAATAACTCCTGGAAAGGACATGGGAATCCATTATACCACTGTAGTTCTTTTATGCCTGCAACTTGATTTTCTGTTTAAATTGTATGATGCTGGGAACTAAGAAATAATTTACTTCTATGTCTGAGGTGAAATTACTTAAGATTGAAGCTCAAGACTGAGGTCCTGGCATTGCCACTGTGACATAATAGATTAAGCATCTGCCTGCAGTGCCATATGGACATCCCATATGGACACCAGTTCATAGCCCAGCTGCTCCTCTTCTGATCCAGCTCTCTAGTATGACCTGGGAAAACAATAGAAGATGTGCCCATTCACCAGTGTGGGAGACCCAGAGGAAACTCCTGGTTCCTGGCTTCAGATCAGCCCAGCTCTGGCCATTGTGGCTATTTGGAGAGTGAAGCAGTAGTTGGAAGACCTCTCTGTCTCTGCCTCTCTCTTTCTATAACTCTGCCTCTTAAGTAAATAAATCTTTTAAAAAAAAATTCTGTAAATATAGAAAAAGAGACTGACCTCCCTCAATTTGCATAATCAAGTCACTGAAAGGCAATTACCAGATTAGAGATGATACAAGAATTTGAACAGCACAATTAATACATTATACATAGAAAACTGACCAATAGCTGTGAACCAAGAGTCAATGGTCTATGCTACTACCATTCAAATCCCCAAGAAGTTGATCATAATTTCATGCCCATTCTCATTTAGACAGGAAAATGAGTAAAAGCAGGAACTCCATGACATCCTGTCTTTGCCTAGTTTGTGGGAGAAAGTACAATTCTTAAAAAAATAAGGTTTTGTTAAATATATACAGATGACTTGGCTGAAAAGCCCATGAGAGTATTTCAGGCATGGAAAGCCAAGACGCTCTGGCATAAATAAAAATAACACAAACAACACAACACAACCTAAATGAAAGATCTCTGTGAGTGAGATCCCAGTGGAAAGAACAGGTCTTCAAAGAAGGAGGTACCTTTCTCTGAAGGGAGGAGAGAACCTCCACTTTGACTATGACCTTGTCTAAACAAGGTAAGAGTCAGAGAACTCAGAGGGCTTCCATAGCCTTGGAAACTCATGACTGGAGCATAGGGAGATTACTGATGCCATAGACAGGAGTGTCAATTGGTAAAGTCAACAACAGGAGTCATTGTGCACTTACTCCTCATGTAGGATCTCTGTCCTTAATGTGCTGTACATTGAGATTTAATGCTATAACGAGTACTCAAACAGTATATTTCACTTTGTGTTTCTATGGGGGTGCAAACTGCTGAAATCTTTACTTAATGTATACTAAACTGATCTTCTGTAAAAAAAAAAAAAAAAGAAAGAAAGAAAGAAATTATCAATTCCCAACTTGACCCTCACTGGGATTAAACATGACAATAGGTCTGATCTGATTTCATCATCATTTAAAAAATCATCTATTATTTTTCACTTTATGTTTCTGTGTGGGAGCAAACTGTTGAAATCTTTACTTAATGTATGCTAAGCTGATCTTCTGTATATTAAGAGAATCAAAAATGAATCTTGATGTGAATGGAAGGGGAGAGGGAGTGGGAAAGGAGAAGATTGCGGGTGGGAGGGACGGTATGGGGGGAAGCCATTGTAATCCATAAGTCGTACTTTGGAAATTTATATTCATTAAATAAAAGTTAAAAAAAATATATACAGATGACTGGATGAAGTGATGAATAGATCCATTTCAGTAACTTTTGGGTATAGAATTGCCAGGTACTACAATTTTAAATATTCACAAATCTTTCAGAAGACACTCACTTTGTTTTCTAACCATATTAATCCATTTAAAGTATTAGAATAGTTTTCCTCACTGTGAAAAACAATCTGTTGATGGCCAACATTTATTTTAGTAGGTAAGATCAAGCACCATTTTAAAGGATTAAAAGTTAGTTAAGAAGGAAGCTCCAGGAATAAGAAACATTTCTGACAGAATGCCACTTGATGCCTTCTGAGACAATACCTTACTACTTCAGAGCAGAGAAAAAAGTCACTGAAATTCATAGATCCTAGATTTGCACTGTCCAAGCAGTTATTGATCATACTGACCAGAATGAACAAAATTTAGTTGATATTACCTTACCTCATCCATAAGTTATGAAAGCCCAGGTGGCCGGCGCCATGGCTCACTTGGTTAATCCTCCACCTGCAGTGCTGGCATCTCATATGGGTGTCAGGTTCTAGTCCTGGTTGCTCCTCTTCCAGTCCAGCTCTCTGCTGTCACCCAGGAGGGCAGTGGAGAATGGTCCAAGTGGTTGGGCACCTACACCTGCATGGGAGACCAGGATGAAACACCTGGCTTCTGGCTTCAGATCAGCACAGTGCTGGCTGTGATGGCCATTTGAGGAGTGAACCAAAGGAGGGGAGACCTTTCTGTCTTTCTCTCTTTCACTAACTCTGTCAAATAAAATGCCCTACACTTGGTATCTTGAATTATGCTGCTGCCCCCTGTACCTCAGTAATTCTTCCTGGTAGCTCAAGGAACATCTGTGAGGGTCTCTGCATGTAAAATGATGAAATTACATTTCAGGAGATAAGTGGTTTGAGTCACATGATTTGTAGATACCTGGCATCCTAACTTTTGGATGGTGATTTCTATTTTGCCACACTTGTGGGGAGCAACTGGGAGCAACTTGGACTAGACTGTTACTGGAATTAAGACTTATTCTATACATCTGCTTTCCCACAATATGGCGCTGAGAAGGGAGTAACAACTTCTACATAGCTGCCTCCAGTTCAACCAATAAACTATAGGACCTGCTCCTGATTGGAGGAGAGCAGCATACTCGGCGTGTGGGTAGCAGAGTTGGCATTGGTGGAAGAGGACTATAAAGGAGGAGAGAGACAACATGCACCAGGAACATCTAAGGGGAACATCTATCTGAAGGAACACCTGTGCAGTCCCCGAGAGAGCTGGCCGGCGGTATGCCGCTCCCCCGCGGAAGTGGGGAATGTGGCAGGGGGAACCGTCCTTCCACGGAGGTGGAAGGGTCGGTAGCCAACCCGGGAAGAACCAGCAGCAAACCCGGGAAGGGCCGAGCAGACAAAAGAACAGCGCAGGGTCCTGTGTCGTTCCTCCACGAAGAGGGGGAGCGACAACACTTCATTAAAAAACACATTTATTTTTCAGATTAATTTCAGAAACTGTCACCAGTATTGCTTTAGAAGATTGCCCTGAGCATGACTTTCCCTTTGATCCTGATGTTATGTATGTATTGTGTGACTTCAAAAAGCATATCAAAATTTCCCACTCAGTGTCAATAATTTCTTCTTGAAAGTTTTATCCAATATTTAGTATACATGCAGCTTCAGAAAATTACTGTGAGCTTTTTTCTATTTTCTGAATAGTAAAATTATACTAAATCAGATTTCATGTGCTAATAAGTTTCTTAAAATATAAACAAAAAGAATATGACCACATATAAGCAGAAATGCGAAGCATTATCTTTTGATCTCCAATGAATTTGTGATTTCCCAGGACTAGATTTTTTAGTATCAGCAGCTTTGCTAAGATACAATTGACAGGCACAGATCATGTAAGATTTTTAAAAATTATTTAAAAGTATATGAGAGAGGGAGACACACTAATCTTCCATCTGCTGAGTCACTCCCTGAGATTGCTGCAATGGGCAGGGCTGGGACAGGCTGAGGCCAAGAGCTTCATCTGGGTCTCCTATATTAGCAGCATTTACCCAAGTACTTGGGCCTTCTTCTAGTGCTTTTCTCAGGCCACTAGAAGGGAGTTGGATCAAACGCAGAACAGCCAGAATACAAACAATGGGGTTGCTTGCATTCCAGGTGGCAGCTTTACTTGCCATGTGGCAGTGCAGGTCTCATGTTTATGGAAACTTCTGCATGAGATTGTGAAGGTCTATTAATTTTATTTTGCATGTAATGCAACTTTCTTCCCTGCTCACCAGGGTGTATCAGCATTTGATGTAGGACAAATCAGAAAATACAATGGTTTAACAAATAGCCATTTGATTTATAATTCTAATTCAATATTTTGGGATGGGCTCATCTGGGCAGTTCCTATCATCAGCTTGGGGTCAAAAATGATGAACTAATCTGAGGTACTGATTAATACTCATGCCTTAGAGATGGTTTCATTTAAAGGTCTGGTAGTTTGTGATAAATCTTGGTAACACCCTATCTCTTCAATGGGTAGGACCCATGGCTTTCCAGAAGATAAGGAAAATCTGAGAAGGCAAATACTTTACAAACTATATGTTTGTATCAGATTTACTGATATCCTGGGGGGTTAAACAAATGAAAAATGAAATCCAGAGTCTTGTAAAGGGATGGATACCAGGAATGGTTTCATTTGGAATCATTACTGGTAAAGTAAGTTAAATTAAACATATATATTAAATATACATTATGTAAATTTGTTCCAATGCAATTTTGCCCAAAAAAATTTGAATCTGTAAATTGCATGCTTTCTATAGAATTTCAGGTCTAAAAAATAAAAAGTGTTCTAAAGTACACACAGATATGGAGTCCTGTGTGATACTTTTGCATTAATAGAAAAATGGTAATTCAAAAATAAGTTTCTTGGCCGGCGCCACAGCTCACTAGGCTAATCCTCTGCCATGCGGCACTGGCACACTGGGTTCTAGTCCTGGTCAGGGTGCCAGATTCTGTCCCAGTTGCCCCTCTTCCAGGCCAGCTCTCTATTGTGGCCAGGGACAAGTGGAGGATGGCCCAAGTCCTTGGGCCCTGGACCCCATGGGAGACCAGGATAAGTACCTGGCTCCTGCCATTGGATCAGTGCGGTGTGCCAGCTGCAGCACACCAGCTGCAGTGGCCATTGGAGGGTGAACCAATGGGAGAGGAAGATCTTTCTCTCTGTCTCTCTCTCTCTCTCTCACTGTCCACTCTGCCTGTCAAAAAATAAAATAAAATAAAATATAAAAAAATAAGTTTCTTCAGTGTAAAATTTAGTGAAGTATAATGTTTATCTCTTTAATAAGCTCATTTATTTGAACAATCACCCTTAAATTTTACTATCTCAATATTACATTATTATTTTATAAATTTGTAGACAATGCTTTCATTAAACCAATGATAATTGTTCAATCTCTACTAATTAATAGAAGTGAATGTGCTTTTTTATATATTTTCTTGTTTAAATATTTCTCCACAGGGAAACTGATGTTTCCTAGGTTAATATATTCATTATTCTTTGTTCATTGTATTACATTCTTTTTTTTTTCCCCAGTGCAATGTAGAAGGAAACCTGATAAGTTTTCTTTTAACTCCTTCCATTTGTCTTCTCTTCCAGATATGATTCTTGGCACCTTCACATATTTCTAATAATAAATAAAATTATTACATCCCTTGTAAGTGGTTTTCTTAATTATTGCTCAGCTTGTTGTCAGTTTTCATTTTAGGAGGATTATTATTATTATTATTATAGTTTATTAATTAAAATGGAAAAATAAGCATAAAATTTATTCTCAGAGAATGTACACAAACATGATGAATGATGAATTTGGTATGATTTTGAAATATTACAATCATCTAAGATATGGCTATTTGGCCTCTGGTCTTTCTGTTGCCTTAGCAAAATATACATTTGTTACATGTTTTGAGTTGAAACTTTGAGTACAATATGCTAAATTTTTTGGTCATGATGTCTGAAACAACAATGATGTAGTGAGCAGTGTTTTCATGTGTCCCTGGAAATAAACACTTAGCATTCTGCAAGGTTAAGAGTTACCTATTACTAAAAAACACAAATCAGTTTTCAGTCCTTAATAGTTTTGAGAAGCTGAATTTGATTCAGGGATAGGATCAGGAATGTGTGGGGAAAAGAATCTCCTACAGGTTCTTTTATTTTTTAGGATTTATTTATTTATTCAAAAGACAGAGCTACAGAGATTGGGAGAGATGGGCAGAGAGAAAGAGACCCTCCATCTACTGGTTCATTCCCCAAATGACCACAATGGCTGGGACTGGGTCAGACCAAAGCCAGGTGCCTGGAGTGCAATCTTAGTCTCCATATTCATTGAAGGGGTCCAAATACTTAAGCAATCTTTCACTGCTCTTTCAGGAACTTTAGCAGAGATCTGGATTAGAGTGGAGTACTCTGGATTCAAATAGTCTTCACGTGAGATGCCGCCATTGCAGTTGGAAGCTTAACTGGCTGCACCATAATACTGGTGCCTATTGCGAGTTCTTAAACAAATCTCTATGTATTTCTATTGGTCACAAATGCAGATTATACTACACACTTTCCCAGGTTCTGTTTTTGGGCAATTAATTCCATTGTTTTCACTTTAATTTGGTATAATGTTATCTCAGTTCTTCAAATGTATGTTAGTAGAATAAGCATAGTCAAAGTCTAAAACTATTTTCTATTCTTTGTCTTACTTGAATCTTCTCTTATTTAGAAATATTTATGAGCTTGATTGAGAAAGAAGTTGATGGACAGAGAGAGAAAAAAAGAGATTACTCCCGTGTACTTATTCACTATAAAAATAACCATACCAAGCAAAGGTTGGGCAGGACTTAAGCCAGAAGTCAGGAATGGAGTCTAGCTTTTTCTCATTGGTGGCATCACTAGTGCTTCTCCAGCATTAGCTGGGAGCTGGAAACTGGAACTGGCACTGGAATTTGAACCTAGGCACTTTGAAGTAGAAGTAGGGTATCTTAGCTGGCATCATAAACACCAAGATGGATGCCTGCCCTCTTTTTTAAAATATTTTTTTCTGCGATATTTGAAGTGACTTTGCATGGTGTTTTTCTGGAAATTCTTCTCTGGTCATTCCCAACATAGCTCCACTGATGGTTTCTTGTCTTTTCACCTGAATACATTCTTCACCTTAACATAGCTCATTCAAGAGTCAATATTGTCTTCCTTTCAGCCTGCTGTGCAATTCCCCTTGACATATGTGGCCCTTTGTGACCTGAAACTCCTGTTTTCTTCCAGTTGGGGCATTTTTCACAATCTTTAGACCATAGGTTTGACTCCCTGCTGAAAGCTTCTGTGTGGTTGTCCAAATGCTCAACAAGTCTAAAATGAAACTACATCCTTCTTTCTTCTTTCATTCCTATGTATAAAATAAAAATGGTCAGTGTTTATTTTGTGACAGAGTTAATATGTTGACTAGAAGTGTTCTATTACAGGTGATGCTAACATTTGAAGACCTGGCTGTTTACTTTACCTGGGAGGAATGGCAGAACATGAACAAAGCTCAGAAAATTCTATACAGGGATGTGATGTTGGAGACCTACAGCAGCCTGCTCTCCTTGGGTGAGTGACACCTATAACATGCCCAGTGATAAAATGTTATTGCTGTTTGAAAAAGAAGTGAACACTGTATAAAGTTTAATGGTGGGCAGGTAAAAAATTTGAGTCCATGAATAATCTGAATGTCTACCATCTAGGAAAGGACTCAAATTGGAACATTTGTTGCATAGTTCCTGGAATAAGCTGTATTCCTTTAAATAACTCAAGATAATGATTTCACAAAAGCTTACATTGTTTCCATTAATAGGGCACTGCATTACCAAACCTGATTTGATCTTTAAGTTGGAGCAAGAAGCAGAGCCATGGATGGTGAATGAGTGCCTAAATCAGAGCCTTCCAGGTCAGTATATACATAACGATGAGGGAGGCCAAGGCATAAAGATTGCAGCAAATGTTGACTGAGGCTCTTTCTATGAATTTCTCCCAAGTGTTATTCTTGATGAAAGCTGGCTTTTTTTTGCATCAGACAATGGATTCTAGAGTTTTCTAGGGATGCCATTATATCTCTAACTCTTTTGTTCTTGATGAAGTTGTTCTTTGACTTAATAAAATTCCAATCCTTTTCTGATGTTACTAAAGATTTTTTTCTAGGTTAGATACATTGCCCTTCTCTGTATTTGATATGTTTCTTTCATGCATTTATTCTTCAGTTCTTGTCAGTTTGGCAAGTTATAGAAACTTGTTTCAGATTGAGTCCCCACTCATGGTTTTGATGAGGCACAGAACTTGCTATTTTAAGGATCTCATGACTGAACCAATGAATGTGAACTCTCTCTCTTTTCTTTCTCAGTGCCTTTCTCATAAAATAAGAAAAAATGGGTTGCTAGAAACATTGGAGGAGGAAGCCTATGGCTGGCAATCTTCTGTTTCATTCTCCCTTCTATCTAATTCTGTGTCTGACTCTCAAGCATATAAATACATAAATAAATGCTAAGAGATGTTCAGAAGTAAGCCTCTGTGCAGTGACATCAGAAATCCTGAAGCTAAGCATGCACTTATATAGAAAAATGAAAATAACTGATCCTAAACTCAACCAAGAAAGTCTTGCAATTCTGAATCCCAAGGTCAAATGAGCTCATTGTTTCATGTTGAATGTCTCAGATTTGGGAGCAGAGTTTGAAGTATGAATTCTGACTCAAGCAAAAAAGATAAGAAAGGCAAAGGAAATGAAGACTTTCTTGAAAATAAGAGACAGCTGATAAAAAGCCTCCAGAGACTCAAATTATCACATAAGTGTGTTTATGTAAAAAACTGAAGAGCGATACCCAGGGCTGATGATTTAAGAATCAGCTACAAAACATTTTTCAAAGAAGGTAAACACATTCTAGGTTGCAAAAACAAATTCTTTAAACCCTTAGGGAGTGTATACCCAAGGTGGTTTATTGTGATGTTTCTGTACCTGTTATCGTTCTGAGAAGCTGAAGATGTTAAATTTCCTTAGGAATATGGGGAAGCTGTCATAGAGTGCAGATAAATGCAGAGTTTCTCATTTGAAAATTCCTTCAAATGCTGTTTACCTGGGAAGACTGAACATGAGACAACTATAGATTCAAATCTTGTCTCTTTTTTTTTTATTTATTTTTTGACAGGCAGAGTGGGCAGTGAGAGAGAGAGACAGAGAGAAAGTTTTTCCTTTTGCTGTTAGTTCACCCTCCAATGGCCACCACGGCCAGTGTGCTGTGGCCGACGCACTGTGCTGATCCGATGGCAGGAGCCAGGTGCTTTTCCTGGTCTCCCATGGGGTGCAGGGCCCAAGGACTTGGGCCATCCTCCACTGCACTCCCTGGCCACAGCAGAGAGCTGGCCTGGAAGAGGGGCAACTGGGACAGAATCTGGCACCCCGACCGGGACTAGAACCCGGTGTGCTGGTGCTGCAAGGTGGAGGATTAGCCTAGTGAGCTGCGGCACCGGCCCAAATCTTGTCTCTTAAATTTGATCCTGTTTGGAAGTCAGACACATTTCACTCTTCTTCCTGTGCAAGTAACTGATCCAGTAAAACATTCCCATATTTATGGTTGAAATACCTGAAAAGCACAAAACGTAAAATTTTAATAATAATAAAAACTAAAGAAGAAGGACAGGGAAAAACTGGTAGCTAGGCAATGGGGGAATATACTGACTAAATATTTGTCCATTCTTTAACATCTTATAGTACTGTCATCATTGTTAAAGACAGTGACAATGAGAGGAGAAAGAGAGAAAGAGATCATTTGGTAGCTCAAGCCCCCAATGCCTATAACAGTTAGATCTGACTAGTCTGAAGCCAAAAGGCTGGAATTTCATCTAGTCTTCCCTGACATATCACAGGGTCACAAGCACATGAATCATTATTTGCTGCCTTCTAATTTACATATACTAGAGATTTATCAGAATCACAGTAACCAGAGCTCAAACTGGCACTATTTTGAGATGCAGGCACCCTAAGCAGTAAATTAACAAATCTAACAAGGAAAGCCGTTCTGCCATACTTGAATAAAATTCAAGTAGTAAACAGGATAAATCATGATTGAACATTGGGAAATCTATTGGTACAACCAAGAACCATATAATAGGTATAAATAAGTGTCTTTTACTGATTATGTTAAAATCTTATGCCACTTTGATAACAAGCAACTTCATTCCCTTTACATCAGTATTTCAGGAGAAAGCATTTATATGTGATTCAGTGAATTTTTTTCTCATTTCAGTTGCCATGAAAAGTGATGACATAATTAGGACCAACAAGAAAATTCAAGAAAAAAAATTTAATAACATGGCAGAGAAACCTTATGAATGTAATGACTGTGACAAAGCCTTTGGCTCTAAGTCAGCACTCATGAAATATCAGAGAATTCACACAGGAGAGAAACCATATGAATGTAATGTCTGTGGAAAAGCTTTTGGCCAAAAGTCACATCTCACAGTGCATCAGAGAATTCACACAGGAGAGAAACCTTATGAATGTAAGGACTGTGGAAAAGTCTTTGGCTATAAGTCACTACTCATAACCCATCAGAGGATACACACAGGAGAGAAACCTTATGAATGCAATGCCTGTGGAAAAGCCTTCGCCCGTAAGTCACAACTCATGTCACATCAGAAAATTCACATGGCAGAGAAACCTTATGAATGTAATGACTGTGACAAAGCCTTTTGCTCTAAGTCAGCACTCATGAAACATCAGAGAATTCACACAGGAGAGAAACCTTATGAATGTAATGCCTGTGGAAAAGCCTTTGGCTGGATGTCAGCACTCATCGAACATCAGAGAATTCACACAGGGGAGAAACCTTATGAATGTAATGACTGTGGAAAAACCTTCAACCGTAAGTCACATCTCATAAGTCATCAGAGAATTCACACAGGAGAGAAACCTTATGAATGCAATGGCTGTGGAAAAGCCTTTGGCCAGAAGTCATATCTCAGAGTGCATCAGAGAATTCACACACGGGACAAAGCTTATGAATGTAATGACTGTGGGATAGCTTTTGGCTTGAAGTCAGACCTCATCAAACATCAGAGAATTCACACAGGAGAGAAACCTTATAAATGTAAGGACTGTGGAAAAGTCTTTGGCTATAAGTCACTACTCATAACCCATCAGAGGATACACACAGGAGAGAAACCTTATGAATGCAATGCCTGTGGAAAAGCCTTCGCCCGTAAGTCACAACTCATGTCACATCAGAAAATTCACATGGCAGAGAAACCTTATAAATGTAAGGACTGTAGAAAAGCCTTTGGCTATAAGTCACAACTCATGACCCATCAGAGAATTCACACAGGAGAGAAACCTTATAAATGTAATGCCTGTGGAAAAGCCTTTGGCTCAAAGTCACAACTCATAATACATCAGAGAATTCACACAGGGGAGAAACCTTATGAATGTAATGACTGTGGAAAAGCTTTTGGCCAGAAGTCAAATCTCATAAGTCATCAGAGAATTCACACAGGAGAGAAACCTTATGAATGTAATGACTGTGGAAAAGTCTTCAGCCATAAGTCAGAACTCATAGCCCATCAGAGAATTCACACAGGGGAGAAACCTTATAAATGCAATGACTGTGGAAAAGCCTTTTCCAAGAAGTCACATCTTGTAATCCATCAGAAAATTCACACAGGAGAGAAATCTTATGAATGCAATGCCTGTGGAAAAGCCTTTGCCCAGAAGTCACATCTCATAATTCATCAAAGAATTCACACAGGGGAGAAACCTTATGAGTGTAATGACTGTGGAAAAGCCTTCAGCCTTAAATCACATCTCATGATCCATCAGAGAATTCACACAGGGGAGAAACCTTATGAATGTAAAGACTGTAGAAAAGCCTTTGGGCAAAAGTCACATCTCAAGGTCCATCAGAGAATTCACACAGGGGAGAAACCTTATGAATGTAATGTCTGTGGAAAAGCCTTTGGCTCAAAGTCACAACTCATAATACATCAGAGAATTCACTCAGGGTAGAATCCTTATGAATGTAATAACTGTGAAAGAGTCTTCAGATATAAGTCACAGCTCATAATCTATAAGAGAATTCACACAGAAGAGATGCCTTATGTATGCATTCCCTGTAGAAAATTCTTTCTGTGAAACAGCAGAGAATTCACACAATGAAGGAAGCTTATGAATGTAATGACTGTGGGAAAACCTTTGGCCAGAAGTCACAACTTATAATACAGCAGAGAATTCACACAGGTGGCCATGGGTTTATCATAAGTTGCCTTGATTGTGTTGAGAAATGCTCCTTTTATACTCATTTTAAAGATTTTTACCAACAAAGGGTGTTGTATTTTTTCAAATGCTTTCTCTGAATCAACTGAGATAATCATATCACTTTTGTTCCTCAGTTTGCAATGGAAAGAATCACATTTACTGATTTGGAAATGTGGAACCATCTCTGCATATAGTGATAAATACCACTTGGTCCAGGTGAATGATCTTTTCTGATGTGTTGTTGGTTTCAATTAGCTAGTATTTTGTTGAGGATATCTGCATCTGTGTTCATCAGAGATATTGGTCTGTAGTTCTTTCTCTATTTTATCTTTTTTGGTTCAGGAATCATGATGTTGGCTTTATACAAGGATGTTAGGGGTACTCCTATAAGGAAAAGGCAGAAGAAACAGAGGAGACTGGATACAAATGCACAGCAAGTCTGAATTTATTCAAAGAAAATTAACTTACAGTGGTTGATCAGTTGCCAGTGGCTTGAGGGTCAAGACTCCAGGGTCTGGGCATTTTTAAATCTTAGGCAGGCTATGGGGGGGGGTGTTAAAAGTTGGAGATGAATTCCTTTATACAGGATCTTCAAGTTTGCTTGTACCAAACCAGTGGTTGAATGCAGGGATTTGGGTGGAGAATAATAGGGTGTGAGACTGAACTGGGGTTCAGTGACAAGGGATGGCTTCTTGACTCAATATTGGTAGATTGTATCCAGGAATCTATCCATTTCTTCTGCATTTCCCAATTATTGACATACAGAACTTTGTAACAGTTTCTGGTGATTCTCTTTATTTCTCTGGTATCTGTTGGTAGATCTTGTTTTTGTCTCTGATTTTACTTATTTAGGCCTTCTCCTGTTTTTTGTTGATCAGTTGTGCCAATAATGAATCAATTTTGTTTGTTCAAAAAACCAGCTCTTCATTTTACTGATCTTTTGTAAGTAATTTGCAGTTTGGGCTGTTGTTTTCCTTGGTCCTTGAGATTCATTGATAGCTCATTTGTTTAACACATTTGCAATTTCTTCAGTAGGCACCAGTTGCTCTAAACTTCCCTCTTAACACTGCTTTTGTATTATCCCATAAGTTTTTATGTGATTTATTATCATCTTCATTCATTTCAAGAACTGTTTTTATTTCTTCTATGACCTACTGTTCATTGAGGAGCATGTTGTTCAGTCTCCCTGTGGTTGTATATGATCTAGAGATTCTTGAGTTGTTGATTTCTAGCTTCATTCCATTTTTGTCAGAGAAGATGCACGATTTGATTTTCACTTTTTTTTTAAATTTGCTGAGACTTGCTTTATGGATGACCATATAGTCTATTAAGAAAGTTCCGTGCACTGCTGAAAAGAATGCGTATTCTGCAATGATGGGTTGAAAAGTTCTGTAGATAGCAGTTAGGTGCAATTGGTCCATAGTTTGAATTAGTTTTGTTCTTGTTAATTATTTGTCTTGTGGATCTGTTCATTAATGATTTGGGTTGTTGAAGTCCCCCATTACTATTTTATTGGAGTCTATGTTTCTCTTTGTATCTTTAACATTTCTTTTAACATCAACATTTCTTTTAAATAGCCAGGACCCTAAGCATTCTGTGCATATACATTTATTTATACTCACATCTTCCTATTGAATTGATCCCTTAATCATTATATAGTGCCATTCTTTGTCTCTTAATAGTTTTTGTTGAAAGTCTCTTGTCTTTGCTATTAGCATTTCTGCATCTACCCTTTCCTGTGTTCCATTAGCATAGAGAATCTTTTCTTATCCTTTCACTTTCAGTTTGCATGCATCTTTGTTCCTGAGATGTGTTTCTTGCAGGCAGCAAGCAGATGAATTTTGTTTTTAATCCATTCAGCCAGTCTGTACCTTTTAACTGGAGAGTTGAAGCCATTTACATTCAAAGTGACTTTGCCCTGTCATTGTTTCATAAATTTTCCTGTTGTGTTTTTGGATAACTTTTGTTCTTTTGTTGAAGTATTTTTTGCTTTCACTTTTTTTTTTTTTTTTTACAGGCAGAGTGGACAGTGAGAGAGAGAGAGACAGAGAGAAATGTCTTCCTTTGCCGTTGGGTCACCCTCCAATGGCCGCCATGGCCGGCACGCTGCGCCCGGCACACCACGCTGATCCAAAGGCAGGAGCCAGGTGCTTATCTTGGTCTCCCATGGGGTGCAGGGCCCAAGCACTCCCAGGCCACAGCAGAGAGCTGGCCTGGAAGAGGGGCAACCGGGACAGAATTCGGCACCCTGACTGGGACTAGAACCCAGTGTGCCACTACCGCTAGGCAGAGGATTAGCCTATTGAGCCACGGCGCTGCCATAAAGCTTTCACATTTTTTAAATATTTATTTATTTGAAAAGCAGAGTTATGGAGAGGTAGAGGCAGAGGCCGGGGGCGGGGGGTCTTCAACCCACTGGTATACTCCTCACATGGCTACAATGGTTGTAGCTGGACCAATTTGAAACCAGGAGTCTGGAGCTTATTTTAGGTCTCTCATATGTGTGCAGGGGCCCAAGGACTTAGGCCATCTTCAGCTGCTTTTCTAGGCATATTCGCAGGGAGCTGGTTCAGAATTGCAGCAGTCAGGACTTGAGCCAGTGTCCATATGGGATGCTGGTGCTGTAGGTAGTGGCATTATCTACAATACAGTGCTACATTATGCTACAATACTATGCCAGCCCCTCTCATTCATGATGACTTTCTGTGTTTCTTAATGTAGTAGACTGAAAATTCTTCCTAGTTCAATTATGAATGGTCTTCATTTCACTGTCATTCTTAAATAAGAGCTTTGCAGGGTGCAGCATTCTGGATTGACAGTGTTGTTCTCTTAAGACTTAGACTATAACCTGCCATTCTCTCCTTGCCTACAGGGTTTCTTATGAGAAGTCCATTGTAAGTCTAAATGGAGATCCTCTGAAAGTAATTTGATGGTTTTTGTGCACATTTTAGAATCTTTTATGTTTTACCATTGAAAGTTTGACTACAATTTTTCACTGTGAATATCTTTTTTATTGCTTATGTCCATTAGGAGTTATATGTGATTCCTGGATTTGGACAGCCCATTCTTTCTCCAAATTGGGCAATTTTTCTCTATGTATTTCAGTAAATAGATTTACTAATCTATTTTCTCTTTCCATGCCTTCAAGACCTATATGTTGGGTACACTAATAGTATCACATAAATCTCCAACATTGTTTTCAAGTTTTCTAATTTTTTTCTTCTGGGCTTTTTTTTTCAACTGAAAGTATCCAAAGGTCTGTCCTGTAGTTCAGATAATCTTTATTCTGCCTCATCACATCTGTTATCAAGGCTTCCCCCTGCATTTTTATTTGATCTATTTTTCATTTCTAATATTTCATTTTGGTTTGCTTTTAAAATCTCAATTTCATTGGGATGATTTTCCTTCATGTCATTGATTGCTTTTTAATAATGCTGTGATTAATCTTTTGAATTTCATTTCCAGGATTTTTTAATCTCTTATCTTCACGTTCTAATGTTGAAATGTTATGTTCCTTTGGGGAACATTATGCATTTTTATTCTTGTTTCTTGAATTTCTGTGTTTATTTTTAGGCATTTGTAGAGTTAGTTGGTTTTTTCTTTTAATGGCTTTTATCTTTGAACTATATGCTTCTGTGGCTTTTGGAATATCTGCACTTTAAATAAATAGCAAGAGTTGAATGTTGGATGTGACCAGAGAGCTCTGTTCAGTGCTCCAGGATGCAACAAGTATTCAGGGTTACATCCAAGTTGGGCACCATAGATGACCTCCTTTTAACAGAGGGGGAAATGGTCACCTCTGTTGGTATGATCACCCCCATGCCTCCTCTCCAAGCTGAGCAATGCAGTGTTATTCCCCAGTGGGTTCAAGATTCATCAACATCACTGTATGAGCCACATGAATGACCTATGCAGTCCTCACTAAGAGTGCAGTGCCCACTGCAATGACCAGCCCCAGGAAACCAAGGAGGTCTGAGTATGTGAATCCACACCCAGTGATTAATCCAGAGACTCAGCTACACCTTGCACTGTCTCATGTAACCACAGAGTCCACACAGTTTCAGCACACAAGTCTGCTACAGTCTCTGGGTGCAGAGTTTCTACTCTTGATCTGCCAGCTTGTCCAGTGACCAGAAAAAGGCATATTTCCTGAGACAGCTCCACTGATGCAGCTTGATCCCCAGAACCTGTTTTATACCTTACTCGGGTTGCCTCAGAGTTCTTCATGGTTGTCTTACCACCTCTCTGACTTTGGCTGCAGCATCTGTGTGTTGTGTCCTTGTTCATGCTGCATGTCCATATCTTCTACACAGGTCTATGGCAGTCCTCTACCTTTTATAGTTTCCAATGTGATTTTCTCTCTCATCTCTACTTAGAGTGCATTACCTATACTTTTTTTTTTTCTATTTATCCCTAGCCGAACGCAGTGCTTTGCTCTCTAATCAACCATCTTGGAATCTCCTAAACCTTATTTCCCACAATAAAAGATTTATATGTATGTATGCAGGTGTGTATTCATTTTGTTTTCATTAGAGCAAATGACTTGTCCATGGTATATTATAACAGTTTATCTTCTCTGCAGAAAAAGTAAAGGATTTCTCTTAACACTTCAAATCACCAAACAAGATAGTTCCATTTGCTTTTGGTTCTCAGTGGTGTATTTACATCTTCCTGGTTTATACCATCATGACAGTTTTGCATTTTAAGAAAAATATATTTTTCAAAAGCCTGTATTTTTATCATCTTTTTAGTTTTCCTTTGGATTGTTATGTTTAAAAGTCTTCTAAAGCAAAACTTGGCTCAAGCAGTCAAATGTGCACACTGATATGTGACTAATTTCACAAATTTCTCATTTAACTGGGCTGATCTTTGCCAAACAATGTTTAATGGCTATCATGGAACAATCATTTCATTTTAAATTCTCTAGAAACCAAAATGACTTTTCAACATAGAAACATTCACTTCTTCATGTGTCAGTGAAATAAAACTGGATAGTAAGTATATAATATATCTCACCCAGACAGATTTTACTTCTTAATATTTAGAAATCTATCTGAGAGGTAGAGAAATTTAATTCTCCAAATGTCTGAAATGCTTCTGGGC